CTTGCAATATGTAAATACGAGGACCTGGAGGAAGGAAGAGAAATTTAATCCATGATATAGTAAGTCAAGGAAATCTTGTTACTCCACAGCATATCTTAGAAAAAGTGAAAGAATATTAAATAGAGCTTTAAACATAACAAAAATAAACTTAATTTCATTTTTTTGTTATCAAGAGACACTCTGGAAAAACAAAGTAGCTGTAATCCTTATTCAGAGAAAATATTAAGACAGACTCTGCACAGCAGAAACAAATCCAGCAAGCAACAATTGGAAATTCAAAATTCACCATAGAAGTGCTGAGAATCACTGGCTTTACAACAGTCAAGAAAATCAGCACATCAGAGATAAGTCTCATGTATTATATTCACAACCTACATGTCCCAGCAAAATGTTACTTCTCAAAGCAATTGAAGAATGTGCTGCTATCGGAATACTTTATGGCTGCAAGGTAATAGACAGCATTAGATCTTCTACAGAAAGAAGATACAATTATCTATAATGAGCAAGATTTAAGCTGATCATTTAAAGTTAAGTTTGCAAACATGTACAGCAAGGGTTTGACATTTCAAGAGTACTCCTTTAGAGAAGTAAGCATAGCTAATAATTTGTGTGGGCATCAGGTAGCATCACATCTTCTCAGAACAGTTATGTGAATATTGATTTGTAAAATATTGCTGCAATCTTATCATGGGAAACGTCGCTGGTGTGGACCCCATACTGACAACATCCATAGAATGAAATCCAGGTCTAAGTGAAAATTAGAAAACTGGCGTTTTGCTGTTTACAGAAGAAATATACTGTCATCACCTCCGCTGCAAGTGAAACTTGTGCCCTGTAACCAGCACCTAGCAATGAGAGTGACAGAAAGGGAGGGGAAGCTGTCGTGCCAGTTGTACTGCACAATGATGGGATGGGTGCTGTCAGTCAGGATTACAAGAGATATGTTAACAAAATCGTTCATAGCTAGAAAATGTCTTTTATCTCCTCAGAGGCCCAGTTACTATATTGGGAATACTTAGCTTAAAAATGATGATGAAATTTCAAGATGCAAATCCTTAAGACATGTGTTAGAGTCCCTCTTGCAAAGAAGACCACCATCATCTGATAGTGATCCAAATAGGAAAAGTGCAGTGAACACATTGAACAGTTCTGTTAGAGTTGATGGATTTACTCACACAAATTTAATCAACAAGAAAGGTTAAGCACCTGGCAGGGGCAAGTCAAAGCCACAAATAGCTACATACTGTGTCTTTCCCCCACAAGTGAGCAAGCAGAAGAGACTACACCTATTGCTTTGAAATTACTAATTCTTGCATGCTTCATGAAGTTGTGCTTTGACTAGTATTGGAATGGACCTTGACATTCAGCCCCTTGAGTTTACTTGACCAAGCACATAAACCACGAGTCTCAAACACAGAGACCACACCAGATGATATGAGGAGGAGCCATCGTAGCTTGTCTTAACAGTTAGTAACAACAGAGTGGAAATGTAACTGGAGATACTACTTGTTCCAAAACAGAGAACAGGACAAACACCAGGTAGAAAAAGTTAACATTAACAATTCATAGGCAAGCATTTATTTTTAAATCTCATTATAAATGAAGGATTACAACCAGCTTCTGAAGAGGCAGAAACTACAGCAGAATGTAAAATTATCCACTTGGAAGAAACAAAGCAAAGGATGTTTTAAGCTTATAACACAGCTTCTGTATAGTGACAACACAATAATGCAACAGGTTTGCTCATCCTTAGCTATCGCTTAAGGGAGCTCTGAAAACCATAGAAGCCAGGAAAGACATTGGGGCCATCTGTTGGCAGATCTAGAAGACAGCATTAGCTTAGACAGAAAAGGGTATTTACAAATACTTTCCTCCCAACGAGAATTTAGTTCCTGCAGATGCAGATGGCATAAGCCCAGAAAACCATCCTCACTTGGCTTAGACAAGGTCCTTGGGTTTTTTTTTCAAGTCGATTGTGTCACTATTTTAATGCAGACAGATGGCTAAGAAGAACTGCAGGTATCCCTTCAGCCCTATTTTATAGGTGGGGTTTTTTTTTTTCCATTTTACCCTTTACTACTTCATTAACCACATATTTTCCACCCAGAAGTCACACTTAAATTATTAAGTTAATGGAAACATATTCTGCTTGTTCAAAAGACAGAGATCCAAAGAATTAGGGCAGTACATGAAAATGAAGCTAAAAACCTTTACTAAATCAACCAAACACTTCTCCCTTTATTTGCAAAGATAACCAAGTGACATAAATCTTTAGGTCAAATGAACAAACTACCCCTTCTAAACCCAAATTTGCTTGTTTAAATTATGGGAGAGGAGAGGAAAACTAGGTTATTTGCAACTCATAAGTGGTCAGAGGGCAAGTGTGAACTCGAGTGTTTACAGTAATTGTGAATGCTCCAACCAACGCTTGCCAGGAACCAGTAAGTTTCTCACCTCAAATTTCTCCAAATTAATTCCCTACCCAGCAGACTATTTATTAACTAACAAGCATACAAGCAGCTGTGCTTAACCTTTAACAAAAAGAAGACACTCAAGAAGTTTAACCCACCTCAGAAACAAGAGAAGTAACAGCCAGCATTACCGAAAAAAGAATGGTGATTCATTTCTAAGCTTTCAAATCAGCACTTGGGAAGATGGATTGCTTTGACTCATGGCCAGTTTCAATATTCTGAAGTTCTACATTTGTAACCATTACATTGCTTCATATTTCTCTTAATCCACCTCCTTAATACTACCCATAAGAAGGAGGCCGCTTACACCATTCCTGTACCACTTGGCTTTAACATTGGAGAGTCAACATCAAAACTACAACTCAAAGCAGTCTCATCTGCAGCTCTGAGCAACCTGATCTAGTTAAAGACGTCCCTGATCATCGCAGGCAGGTTGGACTAGATGACCTTTAAAGGTCTCTTCCAGCCCAACACATTCTATGATTCTATGCATCCAGATCAACCTGCTTGTTTCTGTCAGCAGACCTCATTTCTCCAACAAAATGGATATTACACGCAGAGCTAAGTCATCTGCCACACAAAAATCACGAGGTCTGGACAGACCTTGGACCAACAGATGCATTCATTCACTGTGAAGCAGCTGGCAGGGTCAATACTGTCCATCCAGTGCCTTTTGCTCAGGGCAGACTGGGAGTATCTGTGCAGCAGCACAACTTCCCTCCTGTACCAAAAGGCAGAAGGGGAGATGTTTCTCCCACGTATATATGGGACCCAACACTCAACTGTGATACATACCAATCAGGTACCAAAAAGGAAGGAACTACACAGCTGAAGAGGTCAGACACCTGAAAAAACACCTAAAAGGTGTTCTGAGGTTGGCCATCACGTGCTCACAAAGCCACAAAATCTTCCAACCTCCTCATGTGTCATGAAGTAATAACAAAGCAATAAAGAGGAAGAACAGCCTCCCTGGCTCAGAAGGAATTATCGAGAAGCTGTTACACTGTTAAGTATAACAAACAGGAAAAGTCCAGCACAGCAGGCCAGTCATGGGTGAAGCCTTTATGACTTCCCTCCCACACAACTGTCTAACTAAACAGTCCGTGGAACAGGAGGTAACCAAAATTGGTCCCAGTGCTCCTTCTCTCTTTCTTCAGACTAAGTAGATGCTCTGCATAGATGCAATTACTTCTTTCCTCAGAACACAGACAACTCTCTGGCTGCTTCTAACTTCAAGCATAACAAGGAGAATCTTCCCCGAGCTACCTCCCATCCACTCCTTTGTAATAGCACAGCTGTTGCCACAGTCCTCGATTGTCCTGTGCCAAAATCCACAGTGGCAGCAACGCCACACCATGAACTGCCCCATCATCTCCCTTGTCAACGCAAAAGAAACACAGGCACAACCAAGACCTGAAATACTGCACCGAGAAACAATGATTTTCTTTTTTTCCCCCTCTCCATAATGGATTTAAGACTCTGCACTAACTAGTTTAGGACTGTGCTGCATCTGGAGTCCCCAACACAAGGAGGACATGGACCTGTGGGAGCAGGTCCAGAGGAGGCCACAAAGATGATCAGAGGGCTGGAGCAGCTCTGCTGTGAGGACAGGCTGAGGGAGCTGGGGCTGTTCATCCTGCAGAAGAGATGGCTCTGAGGTGACCTTATAGCAGCCTGCCAGTACCTGAAGGGGGCCACAGCAAAGCTGGGGAGGGACTGTTTATACAGGCATGTGGTGATAGGACACAGGGCAATGGATTTAGACTAGAGCAGGGTAGCTTTCATTAGGTACCAGGAAGAAATTCTTCATTGTGAGGGTGGTGAGACACTGGAATAGAGAAGTTGTAGAAGCCCCCTCCCTGGAAGTGTCCGAGGCCAGGCTGGACGGGGCTTTGAGCAACCTGGTCTGGTGGGAGGTGTCCCTGCCCATGGCAGGGGGTTGGAACTAGATGATCTATAAGGTCCCTTCCAACTCAAACCGTTTTATGATTTTTAATTGCCACATAAGAGCTAGTTGTGTGAGTAACTCACTATTTTACTGTAAAAATGAAATCCCTATGCAGCAGAACTGTTGATTGGGCAATTTCCCACCAGTTTAGAATATTAAGAGTGCAACAGGTTACATTTTGTACTTTAACTAATTGGAAGTTTTACCTTTAACGACCACAGAAAATAAACATGACTGCTGTTTGCTACTGGAAGAGCTGCATTTATTTTAATTTATTATTTTAACTCAGCATTAAGTTCATCCACACTAGAACTTTTCTTGAGAACCATTTTGATTTCAGCAAGTTAATAACTATTAGTAGTAAACAGTGACAATCCTTCAGAATCATTTGAAACAGCACAATACACTTAATTTTAATGACTGATAATGTTGTTTATTATCTTTCTTAAATAAGAAAAAAGGGAAAACTCAATTAACTTTAATTAAATTCAGGGTATTAGACCCTAACAGCTAATGAAAATAATTTATTTTTATAATTAATGAAGTCTGAGAGAATTACACTTTATTTCACTATGGGAGGAGGGTGGCAGCTACAATTCTTTCCCATTACACACATGGAAAAACATTACTGGCTCTGGAAAGAATGAGAAAGAAAGAATCACCTATTAAACAAAACTGGAAGAGAAATACTTCTTCCAGAAACAGAAGAATTGACAGGGCTATTTTGAAGAAGGGGAAAAAAAAAAGCCAAAATGACAATATATATAAAGCTTGGTATTTTCAGCTTTGATAAAATACATTTATCAATTCCATAGAAGGTTTCCTACAGCTTAGGAAACTGATCTAGAAACATACAGGCTATATGAAATATACTTGCATGCAGAAAAACCCCATTTTCTTCCCAATAGATTCATGGCAATCCATCATTACTATTTCTCACTCACTGCCTCACAGAGAAAAATGTTACCAAACCCCATGACCAACAGTTCTCCAGAAAGACCAAACCCTCACATCATGTTGGCTGGAGCAACTTAGTCTTAACCCACTTGGACACGGACTATTAAGGCAGCCTACATTTACTGGCTACTAGGGAGCGCAGCAACTTCTCCGGAATGCTGTAAGCCATGTAACAAGAACAAAGGAGATAATCTGCATAACCTCCTTCTATAAATGAGGAACTGAGGTTCAGAGACAGCAAAACAACTTTCTCAGAGTTGCACTAGAAGTTTAGCAGCTGGAAACAAAGATACACACACATAAACTACAACCGTAAGACCACTCTCTTTGCCATATTTGAATCACCTTGAAAAGAGGGGTAACTTTGGGATCACTCTGAAGCCCCACCTAGATAAACAAGTCTTGATTAATGAGCACCTCGACACAAATGGATGAATTAAAACCACGGCAGAAGTAACCTCCCATTTCAGCTCAATAATTACAAACATTAAAAGACAACACTAAAATGAATTCACACACAGGACTGGAAAAAAGCACACGTGTCTGCCCACCCCACTGCCTACCCAACAGCTGGAGCTCAGCTTTCCAGCCCACAGACAGCCCCATCGCTTTCTCAGAGAGGGCTGTACCCGTGTCAGCAAGTAGCACCTGCCACGCTACCAACCTTGGACAGCCAGAACATGTTCACTCTTTTTGTCAGTAGCAGCACTCATTTAAATTTTTACTCATTTATCTTCAAAAATCTTTGCAATGAAAAACCACGTTATTAGCACATCACTGCTTCCTCTAAATCTCACAATAAGTATCAGACATAATGCTGGAAATCATACCTCTGTGAGAACTTGTCGATGCAGATTGAGATATTAAAAAAAAGTGTCAGTCATGACAGTATTTCTTATAAATTCTCAGAAAATCATGGAAGGATAACTTGTAAACAGTGCTTTCACAAAGAGGAATATACAGGACTTAAGATGAGAGGCAACAAGATATCTATCCTTTAAAGCTCTTGAGTCTTGCGAGGACAACGTTTCATTTTCTCCTCACTAATTCCATATCAACAGCATCAAATTAGATATTTCAACTCAGCTCAACTGCCACTTCCATTTAAAAAGGTCTCTTGCAGCAGGGGAGGCTTATTAGAATGCCTTTGAAAGGGGACACAGTTATTTATCAAGAACAGCCTTTGTCTCAACAAATAGAAGTGCTGAATAAATGTCAGGATGCTTACAGGCAAATCAATTCTACTGCTATAGGCAGTTTATTAACCACACAGTATTTCTATATTATGATTTAGCACAAAGTACATTTAAATTGCCAGACTACAAACTCTTTGAAATGACCTCTCAGAAAAGAGTTGCCGTATTAGTGCACCTGATGAGTTTGAATGGAAGCGTTCAACTTACCCTGTCTGCATGCAGCTCCTACATAGCAACAGGGAAGGACACCCCTTGCAAAGAGCAAAGTCATGAAGTTCTACTACAGCAGGAACTTGCTGAGATAACAGCAAAATGAGTGACAGCTGTCATTTCAAGAATAACATTGATCCTACATAAAAGTGAAGTCTACCAAGAACATCCCAACTCTGTCCTAGTTCTCCTTTCTCCACTGAGGACAGCACGCTCAGGGCACAGGGCTCGGCATGGAAATCTCGGGGTACAGCATTTCATTCCTCTTGAGCCAGTATTTGCAGCAGATGGAAGATCTCAAAGACCATGAAATAGTTAACCTCAATTAAGTTAGCACAGCATTATCTTCGCGTAGATAATTTAGATCATGCCCTAGCTGAGTTACCAGATCAAGAACACAGGGATGTGAAATACTTGGCTAAACTCCTGTGACAAGTCAGAGACATAAGGGCCATATAAGGCCAAAACATTTGAATGTTTATCACTTCCTAGAACTCACAGGTATAACTGACACTGTAGTACATTGAGTTTCTCAGGTATAACCATCTTTGATCATTCCAATAGTCATTTCTTTATGAAATCGGAGAATCAGGTTGGAAATTCCCCAATAAACCTAGAAGAAAAAGATCAAGATGAGATTTCCCTCCCCAGAAATAGGATATAATGAAGTAACTGGTTTCCAGGATATTTTTAATGAAACAGAGGTTTAAAAAGGTACTGTAAGTTGAACTAAGAGATGATGGTCCTACCTTGATGGAAGCAACATGGAGCAAAGTCTCTCCTTTGTAATTTCTTCTGGCAATCGTGTTACCACCAGGGGACTTCGACACAGAAGGACTCTGCGGGATTCCTACTCCATTCCAAGTCTTAGACTTGGATGGAGTGAAGGGAGATTTTGAAAGTGAAGGACTGTTTATTGCTTGAAAGGCTGCAGAGCTTCTTGTCTCCATGACAGTGTTAGTGACTTTCGATACAGAGGAAGAAATCTGAACTGGTGTCTTGTGTTCGGCTGCTGGGGAAATTGGGCAACCCTGAGGCAGCTCCTCTAAGCCATCTGCCTGCCTCTCTGACTTCCCAATACTGCTCCTCTCAGCTACTCTTGGTCTTTTAGCCTGTGAGGTAACTGGAAGTCTGGACTGCTCCCTTCCACGTTTTAAAGGCGTCATTTCATTTTCTATCAATAGTGATGCCTCTGTACCACATTTTTTTTCCTTACTGACTTGTGCAGGGCATGCAACCTCCTTGTTATCCTTCTTGTCTGGGCATTTCACCTGTGGCCGTATTTCCACATTTTCTGTATTTTCACTGGAGTCAGCTTCCTTTACAGACTCCTGCTACAGAGCTATTTGGTTCCTGAGTCCAGATGACCACTGGTTCACTGCAGATGGTCACAGACTTTTCCTTGGGAGTCTTCTCCTCAACCCCTCCTTTCTGCTCAGGCTTCTCTAAGTTCCACACTTTGTTAATGTCTGCTAGACGTTTCCTCTTCATCTTCCTGCTCTGTGTTCGTGCTGGCTTTTTTGTTGGGTTGGGGGGCTTTTCATGAGGAGGGGAAGGGAAGAAATCATAAACTGAAGATGTGTCTTGACAAAGGCTATTGCTTTCAGGCTCAGGCTGTCTCTCCTTGTTCAGGACACACCGGATCTTTCTACTTCTAGGGCTGAACCACATTTTTATCTGTTCCTTTTTACTCTTTTTTCCAAAATCTGAGTCAGCTGGTGTGGACACATCTTCGGTGGAATCTAAGTGCATCAAGGAATAGGAAAAATAATTTATAAAGTACTCTTCAGTAGAACATTGCAAAGAAAATAGATCAAAATTACAACTGTAATGACTGATGAAGTGTTAGTAAAAACAACTTATGAGCACCTCGACTCCTTCTGAAGAGACACATGCAATGGCTTTAAAACTGGCAAGGTCACACACCACTCTGGAGTTTAGGGGTCCCAGTGCAGCTAAAGCTGTGCCCTATGCGAGGAAGCACCCCAATAGAGAAATTTCCTCAAAAGCCACAACACAACACATTCACAGAAGATTTCTGACCAGATTCTAGGGAGGAGAGAAGCTGGTTTTCTCACTGTGTTTTCCTTGGAAGTTTGTTAAACAAAGTAGTCTGTGCATACATAAAAGAGCCCAGAAGCAATTACCTAAGAAGATATTCCAGTTCATCTGAACAGAAATATTAACTACAAGCAAGCAAAAAAATAACATTCTTATAAAAATGTTGAATATTCCTGAGGAATTTTGACTGATTCCACAAATACAGCAGATAAATCAGAGGAATATACAGGAAATCTGTAAATAATTGTGTCCTGTCATTTGATCCTTTACTCCTTGGTAGTAAATAATTCCAAGGAAGCTAAACGTTTCCATGATCTCAAACATTGCTTTAAAAACATGCAGTGGATCAATTTTACAAGTCACATCATACAGCATATTTGAAATCAATAACAGAGGTGACAGGAATATCCTGTACTCCCAGAGCATGAAATAATAGCAGAGATCAAATGCTATACATGGTGTCCTCAATGGCTTAAGAATAAATTAAGATGCACAGTGACCTCTAAGTTAAACAATAATTTAATTTGACAGCTCTTTCAAAGAATTTTTTTTACAGATTTCTTTTTGGAAACATAAGTTATTTTAAGTTACTTGGACAGGTCCTCCAAAGCAAAGGCACAGCTCATTCCTTCTGTTCCCTGCAACCTCAGGGATTATCATTCACAAAAGTCTTGGTGATTTACAGCAATCAATCACAAAGCCAGTATTAATTTTGCCTAGTGAGGCAAGTAGGATATTATCATTGTACAGAACTAAAACCAAGATTAGTGGGGATTTTTTCCTAAACTTTAAATAATCTATACAATGTCTCAATTATCGATAGACGCTCTAACTTTATTTCAGTGTATTAACTCTCTATGGATCATTTGTCTTCTCAAAACATTCTATTTTTGGTGTTAGTAAGTATAGCCTGTTTTCCACAGCAAACTGTGATAAACTCACAAATAATAGACAAATTAAACCCAATCCCTAAGCCAAAGTAAGTTTGAAATTTCACTTAAAGCAGAGCTGTATAGCTAGTAATTCAACACCAAAATAGACACTTGCAATTTTCTTTTAAAGCAATATTTCAAGGCTAAATGTTTCCTTAATCTTGATTTAAATTACTCTACTTACCCCTTGAATTAAAATATGCTATATATTAGGAAATTTAGCTAGAGGAATTTAGGTAAGGCATCAGACCAAAATTGTCTTTAAGAATACAGCTTGAGGCTAGCTAATCAATCATTTAGGTATCTAAAGATAATCATAAAGTAGAGAACTACAGCTATTTAGTTTTCCTGTAGGGCTGGGCTCGGTGCAAACAGGAAGTAAAGCACTGAAATTGAGACTGAAATCTTATAACAAACTAGCCTTCAGAAAGATATCACATTGAATTTTATGCTGACAATAACATCTAAAAGAGGGAAGAGCTTGATTACAAACAGATGCAAAATATAACAGGCAGTTACTATTTACTTGTCCTGCTTTCACTGTTTACTCAACTAGCAGATTTCCTTCTAAAATATTTACCTTAATAGAACTATCAGTCATCTCCAAGTAAAAAGCAAGAATAAAATCAGCATGCAAAAGTAATTTGTGTGACAATTTCCTGCTGGCCAGAATCCTTTTTGATGTGTATAGCACAGTAAGACTTTAAAGTCCAAGTGACAAATTCAATCAAAGGCACTGTCCTTCAGAAGTACGATCTAAAGCAGCATAACACAATTAAGAGTTTATACTGGAAGCTACGTACATGCAACATCTGGCAGCAAGAAAGCTTGTGAGAAATCAACCACAAGGGTTCTTAAACTGATCTGTTCATTACTGGTTGCTCAGCGGGGACCTACCAGTCAGGTTATTAAAAACCTGCTGAAAATACATCAAATAAATACTTTCCCAGGATTACCTTTCCTCACATGCAACTACTTTAGACGTAAAAGAGTACACTACGTGTTTTAGAACAGGGAGGCACTCACGGAACACGATGAAAAGGCCACATACACTGTGAGAGAGGCCAGCTGTGAACACCCAGGCAATTCTTCTCCAGAGCCTACTGGGGAAGAAACTGCAACTTGGGCCAGGGTGTGAGCTGTCTCTCAGCCATTCTTCAGTAACTCCACACTCTGTAGCTAACATCACCTTTACCTGAACAGTTCTGTGCAGCACCTGCAAAAATCGTTATTCTTAGACCCTGCTGCCCCTTTCCTCCATTGCCAAAGTATACAAGGTAGGGAATAAAAATAAGAACAAATGGCCAATCTATCCTCCCTGCAAATCTAATCCCCTTGATGGAACCAGAGCTGTGAGAGGGAGAGAGAGAGAAAAGTCACAATGCTGAGAAATTGAAAGAAAGTTCTTATGGTGTAATATGAAAATATTCATTTATATAAAGAGGACATTCTCTGGTAGCTAATTACATTCCATTAAACCACCTTCAGAGAAGACTGCTCATAGAAGAATTGATCCAAAGGAATTGTTTGCTGTCTCCAACTTGGAAGCCAGAGCTTGCATCTCAACAGGAATGAAAAAAAAATATTATGTATAATTAAGATCTAATTGGCTTTTTAATACACAAGTATCCTCCCAAAATTTTTAGAGCTGCATTGAGACAAAGTAAATCAGTAAAGCATGCCTTACTAATTCTAGATTTTAAATGCCTGCAATAGTGTAAATACTATCCACAGTATTAGTGGACAGTATTACAGTATTAGAATCCGGCTGTAATAAAGGCAGTAAATGTACTCTCCATTACCTATTAAACGTAACATTCACATACACAATATACTAACCGAGTTCTTTCTAAATTAGACTTACTTGTGCATAGTAAGTACAACTTAACGCTGACATTTACTAGAGCTGAATTTAAGTGTTAAAAGTGGTGCAAGCAGACAAAAATATTAGGAGATACACAGTGCCTTGCTACTAGAGAGCTACATCTCCAAGTTCTGCTGTAGTACAATAACAGGCTACAGCAGGAAAAAAAAAAAAGGAGCAATTAGAAAATGTAGTTTAGCTATCATTAATCTGCATCAAAGGAATATAATGATGCACATTGTGTGCCTTTCAAATTATTCTCTATTATGGGTTTCAGAACAGAAGTTGAGAAATCTCTTTGACAAAATAGTCCCTTATTAAAAATCAAAGGGAAGTGCTTTGGTACCATCTGTGCAACATTAGTGCCTTCACTGAAGAATGATTATTTTGCAAGTTAAGTGTTCAACATGGAGGGGGAAAGGGAGAAATTCCAGCTATTCAAAAAACTCATCTTTAGCTACTATGAAAAATGTCATAGCATACATGAAATGCAGTGTAATCTGTTACAACAAGCATTCAGCATCTTCCCCTCCACATCAGTAAATATGAAACTACATTATCATACCATAAAGGCTAATCAGAAGTTAATCTCTTCTACTGTCCACCAGCATCAACATGAGCTTAAGAAGCTTTGACCAACACCTGCAAAGTCTAACTCTGTAGAAGCAGAAAGGAAGGCTTTCTATTTGACTGTGGTAGAGCGAAGCAGATTACTTTACAAAGAATACAGTAAAGTCATCTATAAAGAGTTGTGAAACTTTAAGACAATCTCTTCTCATTAAAGAATATCACACAGAAAAATACACTGAAGCATTTAGCAATTCTTTTTCAAAATCATTACTGCTAATCAACCTTCTTCATCTCTAGTATACTATACACACTACATCCATGATTCAGCAAGTTCTTACTAAACCGTCTACAAAGTCTATCATCGCACCACTTCCAGTTCTCAAGATGTCTTGGGCTCTATAACACTAAAGCTAAAGATTTTGAGGTGCAGATGCCCCATCCCATTCCTGTTAGGTACAGCACTGGGCAGGAAAAAGGTCAGACAGCTCTCCTCACCTTGCCACAGACTAAGGATAACAACTGTAAAGTGAATTGAGACTCGGTATTTGCTACCTATAGTTTGCGTTTTCTAGCCAGTTTCTGGTCCATCATTTCCCAATTCCCCTTTAGTCAGAATAGCAGCACTATTCTAGTACTTAGGAACAGCAGTACTATTCTGTAGCGTAGCTGTTTTGTGCAGTCTTTCCTCACTCCCTTGTTGATGCTGCTGCTTAGAACACACTATCTGGCAAACAGCTGTGCTTACCCCAGTGGAGTACAAAGCGAGATCCCCCTCACATCTACTGTGGAACCTCAGGGTACAGGAATTTTGGCACTTGAAATATTGAATATGAGAGTTTAGCCCTATCCTTTTCAGTCATGGTAGCTCTGTGGGGGTTTAAGACAAGGCACACAATTTCTGGCATTCACTAGGTCTGTCATAGATGAAAAAAATCAGTAGAATGACACATTTCCATTAGAGACTTCAGTGTCAACAAGGATCTTACATAGAAGCCTTGAGACAAGTCTCAAAGCAAGGCATAGAAAACAAATATGTCAAAGGGATAGAAAACAAATATAAAGAAATATTTCTTTTTTCAACTGCTTCTCTTCCTTTCCTCCACAGAAAGATTGATTTTCTTTTTTCCCCAGTCTGTTTCCTTTACTGGAACATAAAATATAGTTTCTGACCTTCTAACAAAAAAGAAAATACCATTGACAGGAACGTGGCAGAAGTACAGTGTCATAAGAACATAAAAGCAACTCCTTAACAATAGAAGCCCTGATTCTCCAAACTCAAACACATTTCACATGGTAAACATCAAGTTCAAGGCACGCATCTATGGGAGGTGACAGATTTGCCAGAGATGAGAGACAAAACACCTTAAAACTACTTTTCATCACTTGTAATCTTTGCTGTAATCTCCAACATTTCATAACTTCACCTCCAAATAAAACACTCCTCTAAACTTAAATTTTATATCTGCTTTTAAATCAGAACAAGGAATGATAAAAAGAACTTTGTTCTGTAGTTTAGCCACACCACGCAAACTTTATTTTAGAAGAACTATGAGATTAAATGTATCATTCAACTTCTAGTATAGTTAAACAACAGCCTAATTTTAAAGAGTTAAACCATCTGTAAGAATTCTCCAAAAGCTCTAAAGAGTATCAATAATACCACAGTGTTGTATTTTACATGTGTTATTTATAGCATCAAAAATAGCTCCTCTCAGAGATTCTCTTCCAGCTATGTTTTTAAAAGCCTTCACCACTTAAAGTGTTGCCCTGGAATCCTATTTAGGCCATCATCTATATTTTCTATGCTCCAGAAGATTTAATCACTATAGGATTTTATACTTGTATAAAATATACTCCTTTACAGTTGGACATAGGCTTCCAGTATCCTCACTTAAATGCATTTTGAAGTCACTGAAGAGGTATCCCATAAATGAACATGAAGGTGCTGATGGGATTAGACTTGGAAAAAGAATCTTTAATTTAGACAAACATGTTACGAAGTAACAATGAAGGAAGAATTACCTTTTCTGTATCTGACAGCTAAATGAATATTTTCTAAAACTTGGTATTACATAAAATGTTCTTCTCTGAGCATGCAAAATGAGACATATATTCATCTACGCTTATTTCACTTCATTTTTTTCCTACTTAGACAATCAGCCTACAATTTGATAGAGAGATGAATTCCCAGAGTATGATCTCTGCAATCTTCTAGGACAGTCAACAATGACAAAATTCCACTGTAGCAGACTAGCTAATCGTTAGGGACCAGAAAATAACTCGCATCCTTCCTCTTTTAGGCAAGGAACACCTATAATTTTTTCAATGTGCAAAAACTCTGAACTGAAAATTACTGAGACAGTATGCACGTCTTGGTGCATAAACACACAAGAGGCAAGAGAATATATGTATTAATCCTCTAACAGCGCCTCCCTAAAAAAGTGTACACTGCAGAATACTACACATTTGTGCTCGAAGGGCACCTGTGCCCCTGGTTTGTGCAACTAACTGCCACGTGACTTCGGGACCTACCCCACTTACATCTAATTTTGGAAGACAGATTCTAATGAATTATGGACTAAACCGTTCATGCAGATTTCTTCGTAAAACAGATTCAAAGAAGGAGCAATCCATACCGACAGTTCTCTTCAAATCAAATTTTCCAAACATGATTTGGAACAGCCTTTCAGAATCTTAAATAGGGCTGCAATGCTCATTCTTGATAAAGCCTACGAAATGAAACAAAGCAGTCCCAATTCAGCGGTTCTCAGAGACCCAGGTTTGCTCTTACCTGAGGTGTCCACACCCAGCAGATGCCGCAGTTTGCTGCAAAGCTGAATCATGTTATCCAGCTGCCGGTTTATCTGTGCATCTTTAACCCAGGCTGGCACATGGCACACTGGGCATTCTTTGCCAACACAGTCACCCACACAAGATCTGAAAGGCAAATGTAAAAATCCGTTATCCAGCATAAGTTATCTACTGTGCTCACTATCAACCTTTTCACAGCCAAGCGCTCAGCAAGAATCTTGTATTTCAGCAGTGATAAACCACTATGGTAAAGCCCACACAAGTTAGTCACAAATGCAGGACAGGACATATTTATCACAGCAAGTGGCAAGCTGTAATTAAGCAAGCCAAGTCCAGAGCTTTGTCAGGACACTCTCATGAAAGATGCAGTATCCTGTGGCTCCCACCGATTCACAACCTGATCCAAATTTTCAAGGTCTACTAAAGCTGCATTGCTCTTTGTCTCCAGATAACAATTAGGCTCCAACAGTTAAAAACGACACATTCTCTTATACCTCAGCTAAAGGAAGGGCTACTCTACTGCAGCTTTCTATTTTTAAACAAATGACAGAATGCCAACCCATAGTAAACTATCATTTACTATCATTTCCACTTTTTCCTATTTAATATCTTGTTGATATTGTGAAGTTCCACCTGTCTGAACATTCTTCTACAAGCAGTCCCATGAGGATCTGCAGGCATTCAGAGTATTCCATCACTTTTCTCTTTCAGATTGTTTACATCAGGAGATGATCAAGGCAGGCTGGGTGGGGAAGCATACTTACTCGGTGTAAGCCATTTAATACTCATAGCTTCTTAGTCAGACTACTCTCCCCATCAAAGTCTAAACATCTTTCATTCATTTGATTAGTCCACTAAGAGAATCTTATGATTTGCCATCTGAACTGCAACACTCAAGGGCCACTGCTACTTCTCAACTTCAATCTATCCTATTAAATACAGGTTATAGTCCCACATACCCAAGACTGAATTAATTTCAAAAGTCTCCATTACCTTACCATCACGTAGCACACACAACTCTAGCCAAAAGCATAAAATTATATGTGAGCAGATCACATCAAGCATTTAGAGGAACAGAATGCAAGTAATACCAAGGCACTGCTACCTGGAGACAAAAATCAAAGTCTATGCATCTAGAGTCTATATATATAATCAGTTTGGAAGCCGACAGCCATACCCCACAAAATTAGTAGCTGTCATGGTTCAATCTGACTGGGACAAAAAAACCACATGGTCTCCAGCTCACTTCTCTCCCTATCCCCATTTCCACAGTGATGTGGATGGAGAAAATTTGACTAAAAAGGCTCAAAGGTTTGAGATTAAAGATAGGGAGAGTAATAATCTACCATTTAAGACGACAGGTCAAGAACCAGAGTGACTTGGGGAGAAAAACACAGACTTAATTCACCATCATCATTTATGAAGTAGGATAGTGAGAGAAATACATCCATAAATATGACCAGATCTTAAACACGCTTTGACCTACCTCAGCCCTCCCACCCTTCCAGCTACCTCCTCCCCTCCATCAGAGCAAGGGGGGCAGGGGGTGCAGGGGGGCAGTCCATCTGGCCATTACTCAGTGTCCATGGCAGCTCCTTCTTGAGAAAGAGAGCTCCTTGCAGTCCCTCCTTCATACTGCATGGTGTCCACCTCACAGGAGGCAATTATCTTCCTCCTCGTGAGTCCCTCAGGGCCACAGATTGCTTTGGGCACATCCCCCACGGATACTCAGTCTCCCTCCCTCTCACATGCGGCTCTGCACATACTGCCACATCCTGGACGTTCTTGCTGCCATCGATTCTCTCAACTGGCAGGCAGTCACCTTCCTGCCATCTCAACCACCACAGGCTTCAGGGAAAGCTCCTGCTCCGGCAGCCTTCTCCCTCTGCTTCTCCTCTGGGACTCTTCTCCCCCTCTTTCTTCTCAGGGTGATGTTCCTCTGTTCTCCTCTCACCTGCCCTTCCCCCAACAGGAAAAACTTCCCAAAGGACAGCTCAAAATAAGGCAAAACCAAAAGACAGAAAGAGAACAATGGGGTCGCCTCTTAAATACCTTGAAGGCAGAAGTGCTAACTGGCCTGGCTCTGGCCAGGCAGGTCCAACTCCCACCTGGGGATGGGGAGGTTCTCGAAGCTTCACACAAGCCTATCCCCACTTTCACAAAAACACCCCACCAGACTCAAACTCATGACAGTAGCGTATCAGTTACCAACACCAGAATTATAACTACCAGCACTTTCCTTAAGAGGAGTTATTTTCAGATCTCTCGCTCAAACACCACAGGAGTATCACGCCCTCAGTTAATTCCAAAATGAGAAATTCAGTATGTAGGAATTGCTGCTAGGTGTGTTCTGTGATTTAGCCAGCCAAATGACCCCACAGTTGAGACACTGCTGTGATTGGGAGACTGAAGTAAAATTCCTGGCTTTGACCTATTCTGGATGACAATGACAAATCACTTGGAGCAAAGATTAGAACCAACCAGGGCTCGTTCTTTATGAAAACCGGCCTCAGGTCTCCCATGTCTGTAAAAGGTAGTGCAAAGGAAATGCAGAATGACTTTTATGCCACCACATTTCCTCATTACTTCTAGCTGTTGGGTTTTTATAGTTAATGGATAATGACTGTAACTAACTTAGTAGAGTTACTCAAACAAAACCGCAGAAACTGATCTTAATAAATATCCCTGCTCATAATAAAACCCACACTGAGGGAGAATCCATTATGTGTGACCTGGGGGCCTACAGTAAAGTGTCAGAGAAACTGTGGAAGTGTTCAGGGCCAGGTTGGGTGGGACTTTGAGCAACCTAGTCTAGTGGGAGGTGTGTCAGCCCATGGCAGGGAGGTTGGAACTGGATGATCTCAAAGCATTCTGTGATTCCTGCAGTTCATTACTTTCACGTATTTCACTTCACATACCAGAAGTCAGCTCCAGCAATTCACTCCACTCCTTCCCAGGTACATTAATAAATACCTGTCTGTAGCAATTGATCAGAATCAGTTCGTGTAGAACAACGCATGCCCTACTAAATTTGCTTGTAAACAAATTAATCTAAATTTCCTTAGGCTTATTTAAAAAAATAGACACTATCCAAGACTCAGTCATCAAAGGACACACTGATGATTGAAAGGTCAAGCATACAAAAGAGAACAAATTAGGTATAACAATAACTTGGATCGTGGCAAATAAACTCTTTTTCTAGAGTAAGAAATAGTTGCTAATGAGTGCTTAAACCCCCTATTAGTTATTCTTTCCAGCATCATCAATGCAAACTGCATCACCTTTTGATGCTTTGAAAATTTTTCTTTAAAAAAAAAAATCCCCCCCCAATTTGTTTAAGAAATACTTCGCAAACAGTGGGGTTTTGAAATCTATCATCTAAGACACACTGGTGTTATCCAGAACAAAATCACAAGGTCTTAGATGCCCAACAATTAAATTACATCAAACAACTCTTGCACTAACCTTTAGCAATCCAAGCAAAGAGCACTTTAAGACACATATGAACATATTTATCGGTAACTTGTACAAGCTTCTCAGGGTTATTTTACCAAGTACTCTATGGACAGGTACAACTGGAACAAATAACAACTTTGCTTCCAACAGCAGAATCTTCTACAGCAATTAACGACCAAAGCCGGGAAAGAACTCACAGGTCTGGACAGAAATAAATCATTTGTGTATCTTTTAATACATCCATACTGGGGGGAAGAGATGCTGAGGGTATCTGTCCCATAATCAGTTAGTCCTTAAAAAGCAAGATAATCTTCTGCTAGTATCTTACTCTTCAGGCCTTCAACACTTTCAGCTCCCATTAGAAAGGTGCAGATGAAGACTGAACACACAGCTGGGAAGGAGAACTTTTCCTCTACTTTTATTGACATAGTGACTACAGCATTAGCCAAAAGTAAATATCTAGACTGGCTTACAAGCAGAGACCACATCTCAAGTACTGTGTTCAGTTTTGGGCCCCCCACTACAAGAAGGACATTGAGGTACTAGAGCATGTAGAAAGTAAAGCAACAAAGCTGGTGACGGGTCTAGAGAATAAGTCTCATGAGGAGCAGCTAAGGGGATTGTTTAGCAAAAGCAACCTGAGGAGGGACCTTCCTGCTATCTACAACTACCTTAGATGAGGTTGCAGAGAGGTGGGGATCAGTTTGTACAATCAAGAAACAAGTGATAGGATGAGAGAAAATGGCCTCAAGTTGCACCAAGGGAAGTTTACTTTGACTATTAGGAAGAATTTTTTTACTTTTAAGGGTTACAGGCATTGGAACAGGTTGCCCAGGGCAGTGGTGCAGCTCCCATCCTTGGAGTTATTTAAGAGTCCTGTAGACATAGTGCTTAGGAATGCGGTTTAGTCAAGGACTTGTCAGTGTTAGACTAATGGTTGGACTCAATCACGTTAAAGGTTTTCTCCAATCCAGGTGAGTCTGTGACTAGAAAGCGTCTATCCTCTCCACCGTAACAAGCATAGGATTTTACTAGCTCTGCTACGCAAAGGAACTGTTTAAGATACACGTCTGACCTTTAACTCTGCATGTTTGCATTTGCGTGCCGGGAAGAACAGCGACATACAGGACATCCAGAAGGTTCCACCACTTTCCCCAAATGAGGTTCTGGGGCATGAGCATTTTGGACTCTCTCTGTACCAACGACACAGTGAGTTCTCCCAAGACAAGCCAAGTGACTAACACCTCCTCAGAACTGCCTTGCTAGCAGGATGTTTCTAACCTAACTCAATCTTTTTAAAAAGTATTTAACAGCTTATTTGACAAACTGTAAGTGAAGGTACTCATGCTATTGCAACACTTTCAAAAGGCCTTGAATAGGGGGCCGGTTAGCTCAGTCAGTAGAGCGTAGCGCTAACAACGCTAAGGTCGCAGGTTCGATTCATGTTTGGTCCCCATGTGTTGCCTGATCTAGTTGAGAGGTGGCATCCCTGGTGACAGGGAGGCTGGATTAAAATGATGTCTAAGGTCCCTTCCAGCTTAGGCCATTCTATGAACACAGGATTATTTAAGAGGGGCAGATGTGAAGGAGCAAAGCCACTAGCATAGCAGAAGGCCAAAGCAACGACAACCAGCATCCAGTGCTCTGAAGCAAAGCAAAAACCTCTTGAAAACAGGAAGCACCTGTGCAGGCTACTCTCGTTTGTTTGTTTTGAAGGGAGGAAGAGGAGGCAGTTGGAGATGATGATACAAACTGGAAGCTGGTTTTGCCTGCTACTGGCAGACTCCCTCGGGCGGGAGGTTCCCTTTACACCTCTCCAACACCGCGAAACCT